TCACCAGGAGCAGCGCGGGGACCGGCCAGAAACAACCCCTCCGCCACAAGCTCCGCACGCGTCAAAACACAACCCCCACACTGACAGCGCATGCGCAGCAGGCAGGCGCCGCAGAGGGCGGGGCTCGGCGCGGTGGCCGAGGCCTGGCCCTCCCCCAAGCGCTGCTTTCTGGGGAGGTAAATTCTCAGTTTGGGAAGGTTTTGTTTGGTTTTTCTCCAATATAAGATAGAACCCGGGCCTTCGTAACGAGCTATATCACCGGCCCTTTTTATTTTTCTAGACGGTTTCGCTGATGTGCCCACGCTGGGCTCGAACTTGGGATCCTCCTCCCTCAACCTTCCACAGTGCTGGTGTTACAGGTTTGCACCACCAGGACCGGCTGGGTTCTAGTTATTTTAAATAGCTGGGACATAAATATAATGTCCGTTCCCCTATTTACCCGTAAAATACAAAAAAGAAAAAAGCAAACAAACTACCTCGGTATCATTAAAGTCTCTCCCCAAACTCAAAGAAATTAACTACAATTACCTCCTGCACCTTTTGTTACACAGCAAGGATGTAACACTGGAATTCCAATGACCCAAATCCAGAGCTCAACCACTATCCTACAGTGTTTTGAGAGATCTATTCCAGTCTGAGAGAAACACCAGGGCCCGAGATCAGCCTAGTAAGATTTTTCTCGCAAAAGACTCCTTTTCAAGCCCGACTTGGTGGTGAACACTTTGTAACCCCAGCATTCAAGAAGCTGAGGTAGGAAGATCGCCATAAGTTCGAAGCCAGACTGAACGAAGTAGCAAGACCCATCCCCCCAAAAGAAAAAAACTTTACCTTTCCGCTCCCTGAAATTTTGATTAAAAGTACCAAAGTGTTATCCGAGTTGTGCAGAACGAGCATCAGAGCCAAAAGCAGCCCTCAGCCAAGTTCTACTAGTGAGGGCTCAAGAGCATCCCAAAACCAATGATCTTGCCGCCGCTGGGCGTGGTAGCACACGCCTGCAATCCTAGCCCTCGGGAGGCTGAGGCAAGAGGACAGGCAGGAATGAGTTCCAGGCCAGCCTGAACTACACAGTGAGACCCTGTCTCACAAAAACAAAACAAAAAAGCGAACTTGATAAACTGGCATGCCAAACTACCCTGCTTTGGGCTTAATATTTCAAACATGCTGCGGTTCTAGTAACAATAAACGCTAGGGGAACACTTAATTGCCGCTAATGGGTGCTAGGTATTTCTTCTTAGAAATATCATTTATATAAATGAGATTGGAGTTTCAGTAACTACTCATTTTGAAGCGCTCAACAGAGATTCCAACAACGACTCGTAAATTGCATGAAACAGTGGGTGGTATTCTTATTTATATCAAAGATTAAAGTAAAAACGTCTATCCAGTCGTGGTGGCGCAAGCCTGCAATCCCAGAACACTCCGGAGGCTGAGGCAGAAGGATTGCTGTGAAATCAAGGTCAGCCTGCACTAATAGACTATGTCTCATAAAAAAAGAGAAAGGAAGAAAGAATAGGTACAAACGTCTGTACAGTACTATGTAAAAACAGATGGAAAGCAAATGTTAATTTTTCCAGCCTTAAGACACCAATTTCACATTTAAAATGTGGATTTTTCAAATACACTTTTAAAGCACACGACAGCACATTATTCTGCATTATTACTGCATTTCAAGTGGAAATTTAAAAGTTGAAGAAGCATGTCTATCTTCTGGGGGCGGCAAAAAAGTAAATTTAACCCAGTTTTCTCCACGATTCCATCCCCTCCCCAAAAGGTGGGCTAGGACCCGGATCACATGACCGCTCCCCCAACTCCGGGCGGAAGAGCATAGCTGGGACAATGGGAAGCGCCTTGAAAGCGGGTGGGAGGGATTTCGTGCCCAGCTGAAAGATGGCTGCCGCAGCTGGGCAGCCCGCACCGGAGAGGTTACTCTAGATCCCTCAGCTTCTGTCCGTTCCCGCCGACCGTCGCCTCCTTACCATGAAGCCAGTGAGCCGCCGTACCCTGGACTGGATTTATTCAGTGGTAGGTCCCGGGTCTCGGGGTGCTTCACAGTACAGACTCCCTGGGCCCGCAATCTGAGGGGCTCCTATTCTTCACCGCTCTGAAACTCCAAAACCTATTCTAGAATTAAACGGTTCTGTCTCTCACCCCGACTCCGCCTCTTCCTGGAAGACTAGGTCTTCCGTTTCTTACGTAACGGCTTCCGAGTCTACTCCCCCTGCATCCCCATTTAGAGGCTGTCATCGAAATTTCCACCTTAGCGAGGATTTATGATAACCTAATGGGAACAAGGGTCAAGTAGCACGCACATTACATTTTTTCTTTCTTTCTTTCAAGTTGCTGTTTGCAGTCGTTTTACTCTCCTGGGGATACGTCATCTATGCATCAACGGTAGTTGCACAGCGACAGCTAAGGAAGAAATACCCAGACAAAATCTTCGGGATGAATGAAAATTTGTAACTCTTCTAGTATTCTCTCTACAGTTTTTTCCCTCATGTTTATATGACACCTCTGTAGACTTAAAATTCACAATACAGATTTTCTAAATTTATTTTTGTATACTCTTTTATCATAAGTAAACACACCGTATCAGCCGGTTGTTGCTGTGACAAAATACCTGCCATATACAACTTAATGGAGAAAAATGTTTATTTTGGCCCAAGGTTTCAAAGGTTTTTAGTCCATGGTCAGCAGGCTCAAAGGCAGAAACATGGTGTAAAGGCCTGGTGGAAAAAAAATACCAAATTCATGGCATCTGGGAAACAGCAAGGAAAAAGCCAGAGGGGAAAGGTGAGGGACCTGATACAGTCCTCAAGGTCATACCCTCATGACATCCCATGTGCTTTACTAATCTAAGTATCTCTCAAGCTTATCAAGTTGACAATCAAGATTAATCACACAATTTTTTCAAATAGCTCTGACTTCAGAGTATAACATCATAGATAAAAAGTCAAGCTTTTCAATCTGGTTTTCAAAATACTTGAAAAATATTTCAGAAAAGCTTTAAAAAAGTGAAAGCTGAATTTATTCTTATATATGTTTATTGCAACATTTCACTGTTGCAAACCCGCACACAAAATACCATACTTGGAAAAATAATTACCATGTGACTAATACATCCTATTTGTCAAGTCAAGAATGGCTAGAAAAAGATGGTTGCTTATATCACTTGTTTAGCATTTCTGGTTTTTATGTACTGTCAAATTCAGAAGGTGTGAAGTAGTACAATGTTTGGGAAAAATATGAAAACACTTTTCTGAGAGTAAACTTTATTAGTTTTGCAGGAAACATATTCAGTTAATATAACAATATAGGAAAAAAATAAGGGCTTAAAAGCCTTTGACATTTTTAAATAGTCTTCAGTGATGTTCATCAGGAAATTCTTTCATTGGTGGAATTATTTCTCCAGTCTCCAAAATTTTATCACCCTAGGAAAACAAAGAAGGATTGAGTACAAAACTCTTAAATTTGCATAGGTAAGTAGTTTACCTGTGTTCTATGTTGACCAGCCCCTGCATGGAAAAGGTAGTTAAACTCTGACCTTCTATCCCTCCATACCCACCCTTCTTTTTCTTTCCAGATGGGCTCACTATTCAGTTCAAGATGGCCTTGAACTCACTAGCCCAGGCTGGCTTAGAACTTGTGATGATACTCCTGCTTTAGCCTTCCAGGTGCTGGGATTACATACAAGTACCACCACATCAGGTTTGGTATTCACTTTAAAAAGGACTCAAAACAGAAGCCATCTAGAGATAAACAGTAGTCATAGTTTTAAAGTACCAGTGAAAAAATAAGTTTTACTAAATACAATAACCAGAAAGGCTATGACAGTTGTGTTTTCCAGATGTTGAAAGGATAATATCTGTGCATGGCCCAAGCAATAGAAGCCCTAGAAAGAATGTGCAGGGGCACATCTTCAGTTCAATCTAAAGGTAATTTATACCAAGCAAGTCAATGTGACCCACCAATTTTCCACTGGGCTTACATGTAGCAGATGAATTTTTGTCTGGAAGCTAGTCCAGGTGTCTTTTAAAACCTAGATATAGTGTGTGGTCAAAAGGGCTGCCACAGTTTGGAAAAGCAGATGCATGAGAACAAAAAAACGAAAGAACTTGGTAATTATTTTATATAGAATAGGTACCTGCATGGGCTTTGAAGCCAGAACCCAGAGACTAGAAGTAAATGATTAGATGCCTACCAAGTATTTTTCTTTGCTAGCCAAATGTTGAGGGAAATCAATGGTCAAGGAAACCAAACATTCAGATTATAAAAACCTGTGAATATTTAAAATTAGAACTGTTTGTGGCACTGAACCTGTAAGCAAGAGGCAGATTTTGCAGGCTGTACAACCCCTAAGGAAGGCATGCTTACCATTACCATTTAGATGTCTAAAAAGCAGATCCTGGACAGAGCCAGGGACCAGAAGAACAATGGACTAAGGTATTTCTTCCAGAAAACAAAATCAGTGCCCACTCAAGTAACTTCCTACACACAGGAGCCTTTACAATATTTGACTATTAGAATCACAAAACTACCAAGAAGAAGTCATTCCTCTGCTATCCAAAATCCACCACTTAATAAGGGGTATGGGGGTGGGAGAGGATACAATTAACTTTTCTGTCTTCCTAGTTCACTTATCCTCAAATCAAGAGAAGTCATATTTGAACCTGACAGATACTACTATGCATTACCTAGATACTCTGGATATAGGGCTGGCTAGTGATAGAATAGGTCTTTAGGATCTTTTTCCTAAGGGATAGACTGAGTGTTACCTGTGTGGGAATCAAAGTTACTGGTGCCTAGGAGGATGGACTATGGCAAAGATTTCATGCATAAGAGTCTCAAAAAATAGGAACGAACATGTGAATATTTAGGACAGTGAAAATGCGTTCTGGCCAGTACTATTTCAAAAGTAATATAAGATAGCCCAAATCATCTTATACTTTAAATATCATCCCAAAACAGCCTTTTTCCCCCCTCCAACAATCTTGAATATCTCATTCTAGGGGACAGACATAAAAGACAAGAGGATTGCCTGATTCACACTAATGATATCAAAAAAATAAATGTTCTGTTAAGATTTGTGAGGTTTCTATTGCTTATCCTATTTTAAAACATGTATTCAAATGGGCATTCTTTAGTTTCTCAAAAGGGAAGATTTTCAAAGTGGTCAAATGCACAGAAACAAAAGAGTGGGGAAAAAAATAGAAATACTATAGAATCACTAATATGTTCTTCTAAGAGTGGCCTCATTTTTGTTTGAATAGCAATGGCAAAATTAATGCATAAAAACTAAGCAAACATCCAGAATAAATACCAGTTATCCAACTGACAAAACCAGCAAGATAATTTCCTATTGTGAGACCATCTAGGCCCTGACACATCAATTACATACAAGGAAATAATAAAAGAAATGCCCTATTATTTCCTAAAGAAAATTCCAACCGGGATGGTTAGCAAATTTCAGTGGTTGTCCCTAAAATTCTTACTGTAGTAAACAATAGATTGTTGTAGAATATGTCATTTGATGAAAGCAAGAATCAGCAGTGAGTTTGGCTGTTTATTTTTCCGATCCAGGGTCTTGCTATGTTAGCCTCAAACTCATTATCCTCCTGCTTTGCTTCAGTCTCCCAAATGGTGGGATTAGAGGTGTGAGCCACCACACTTGGAGAGTTTTGTTTTTATAATTTTGAATTTATAGTCATGGTAATGCACTGATTATTTGTGCCTAAAAACAGGACATAATGCTTATTTTTCTGTACTAAACAATAATATCCCGAACAGTCAATAAAAATGCCAACTGACTACTGAATAGTCTTAATGCTGAAAGAACTAATTTTAAATTAATATTAAGGTCTAATATTCATAGCATAAAATTTTAAACACACATTTAACTGGTTTTAAATTTACAGATGAAGAACTTCAGGTCAAACGATGAAAAGGAGGCACAAAGCCACAGAATGAGGGAAATTACAGAAACAGCTGCAATCACCATGCTCAGGGGTCTGCTCAGGCTCCTGCCCTCCATCCTTCACTCAACATGAAACAGCACCAGGGAAAAACTGTTGATTTTGTCCACTCATTTTAGGATAATCAAGGTCATAAAATAAAGCTCAAAATTAATGTTTCCATTTCCCATCTTCAACTATAATTGCTACCTCAAACTATTTCCTCCCTTTATTTTTTTTAAAACAACACAGACAACAGACACCTAAACTAACATTTAAGAAGGAACATTTTAAGTGATCACTTAAATTATATATAATGAAAAAAGAAAAACCAGAGTTGACTTACTGGGAATATTCTGGGCTTCCTTTCAACGATGTGATATGGTCTTGTCTGCAATACAGATAATTCTGTGTTAATTATGGTTTTAGAGTTTCTTCTGAAAATAACTAGGTCATAACCCAAATTTTAATTTAAGCTCCAAACTTTTACAGAATTCCAGATTCATGCACCCAGCTATTCAACATCTCTATTTGGCTTTAAGTATCTAAAACTTAACTAGGTCTAACACTTAACTTCTCCCAGTCTCAAATTAATTCTTTTCATGTTCCCTATCTTAGTAAATGGCACTTTTGATTTCCCTCACTCCAAAAGCCAAAACCATCAACTCCTTAGCCGATCCTGTTGAGTCTACCTTGATATTGTACCCTATCTCCAACTGCTGCTCCCCACCTCTATGATGACCACCCTTGCCCAATCCTTTATCATTTCTTTCACTTGGACAGCTGCAACGACAAGCACCTGCTTAGCTCCCTGCTTCCACTGGTGACCTCCATAATGAAGGCAGGCTAGCATATCTTTTAAGGTGTACTTCTCCATTCAAAATTTCATAATTCTTAGAGAAAAAGGCAAAAGTCTTTGCTGTGATCTTTAAAACCCTACATGATCAGACCCTTGGCTACATGTCTGATATCCTACCACTCCCTCACTCACTGTACTGTAGCTACAGCAGCCCCTTACTAGCCTACTCCAGTCTGTACCTTTATACTTACAGTATTTTTACTTTGTACTTATTTATTTCTCTACCTGAAATGCTCTTCTAGATATCTGCTTGACCCATAATCTCATTTAATTTGTTTCTTTTCAAGTAGTAATTCCTCAGAGAGGTCTGATTAATACAGGCCCTGTCAACCTCTTTGTCTTTTACTCTGCTTAACTTTCTTCTAGAGATATAATCCCTTCTTATGTTATTACCTATCTATGTATTTGTTGTCAGTCTGTAAGAGTAAAATAAACACCTCATGAAGACAGGGATCAAATCTCCCTTGTTGCTGCATCTCTTATGTTTAGCATGGTGGAATGCATGAGGAAGGGCAAAAAAAATTTGCCTAATAAACGTATTTATAAAGCATAAGCACAATATGCCACACCAAAATATTTTAAATATTGGCATGATATAAAACACAGCGTTTTATGAGACATGGATATAAGACACAGGGAACTGGAATATGAGAGAAACTCAGACTGTAATGTGAGGATGTTGGTCAGGCCAGATGTAGTGGCATATGCCTGTAATCCAGCTACTCTGGAAGCTGAAGAAGGAGGATGCAATGCTCATGGCCAGCCTAGGATACTTAGTGATATCCTGTCTCAAAAAATTAAAAAAGGACTAGGGATGTAGTTCAGCGCTCCCTGTTAAATCCCAGGAATGAGGGGGAGACACTGAAATGTCTTCAGAGATGACAATTCAATGAGGCATCAAAGGAATTAAATGAACAAAATCTGGCTGCAATCTTATTAAAGGGGCAGACCCTACCTACTCAAATTAAAAAAATAATATGTGAGTGGCCTTGGGATCTCAACTGGCTAAAGATACACCTCAAAGTGTGAATCTCTTAGATAAGCATTCCTATTAATGTATTATTAACTGCAGCTTGTAAATATGCCTCTCCGGGAAAATTTTAGTGAAATATCAATAATAAAGTTAAACCCAGAGTATAAACAGAAAAAAAATCAACATTTAAAAGTTCTGAAAACATTGGCATAACCCATGTATTCTGTTGATTAGTGTTCTTAATATAAGTATAAGATACTGTGCCTATCCTTATACCTGTGGCTTATTCTGTGGCTAGAGGGTCTAAGAGATTAGGTTTAGGATCCTAATTTAAATGCATAATTGATTTGGACATGTAATTTTAAGTTGAAAAAATTTTGCTTCTTAGGATCACAAATTTATGTTATAAAAATTATACCCAATTCTTTATGAACAAAAAAAAGCACTCATGAATGTTTAAAAAAAACTGAAAAGAAGTAATATTTTTCTTCTCTAGGGTCTTACATGCTAAAATACTAAAAAAAAATAACATGTATATTTTGATATGAAATGGTCTAGACATTGGTGAACATAAAAAGTTTTTAAGCTAAATAGAAATAGAGATATTTCTATTATCTCCTACTAATGACATGATTTTAGCATATAATCAACTGCTAACTTCAGGTGTTTCTTCCTTTGTTTTTTTGTTGTTCCGTTTTGTTTGAGACAGACTCTCAACATGTAGTCCAGTCCAGCCTAGAACTGGCCAATCCTACCTCAGCCTCTTGAGTACAGGGATCACAGAGGTGCACCACAATCCCCAGTTGTATTTCTTCCTTTAAAAGTGTCTTTTGGCTTCACTTTTCTTTTTCATTCCTGCTGTCTTCACCCTAAGCAGATACTCATCAACTAATATTACTATACTGCAAACAGCCTCCAGCTGATCTGCTTCATATCTGACTTTCCTCCCTTTGGTTAACCCTACAAATCAAGGTTTTTCTACATTTTCCTCACATTCACCAAGTCACTCTCCCATTTAAAATGGAGAGCTGCTTACTGCCTGTCATGTACAGCTCAACCTCTGCCTAGTTTTCAGGAAATCCCACAAACTAGTCCCAGTCTGAGTCAACAGAGCCTTCCCTTCTACTCTTCTCCTCACTCTTGGGTACATATGGCCATCACTGACTCCATATCTCTCCTTCTGATTAGAATAACATTTCTCCAGGATACTGTTATTCAAGTCATCCAACATTATATATATTCCTTGAAGTCAAGAAATTTACTTTTGTATATTTTTTCTATAGTAGTTCATCTCTATCATCCAAATTACATACATTCGATGAAGTCAAAACTTTACTTTTATATTTTTTTTCTGTATCAGTAAAGGAAGAGGATACACCATTTTTTTTTATCAAAGGACATAATCTGCTTAATGAAGAGAACTAAGATGATGTCAGAAATCAGAATTTTAAAGAGCCTATCAATCAACAAAGAACATGTCAAAGTGAGAGGGAATTTTACGAGAACTCCAAATAATTTTGATTATTTATTTCATGGTCCTTGCAACAAGCTAACAAAAAGCAACCTCAACTGAATTTTCTAAAATTTGTTAGGCAGCCCCTAGCTTTTCTTTTAAAATAATTTTAAACAAAAAGTTGTAAGAATGATATAAATTTTTTTTCTTGAATCACTTTATAGTAAACTGCTGACTAGCTATTATGTATATACTACTGGGACATTCTTAAAATAATTATAACCACCAAGATCAGAAAATAAACACTGACACACTGCCTCTATCTGACCTGAGGAATCCCTTCAATTTCACCAAATGTCTCAGTAATTGTTTAGACACCACTTATAAGACTTGTTCTCCATTGACTGTAAAGGATCTTTAAAATTCTCATTGCCAACTCTGTACTTTTGATAATGCCCATTATTCAAGAATTACATTATCACAATGCTTGGAGGGTGGCGGCTTTGGGGATGGAATCTAGGCCTTGCACACCCTAGGCAACCACTCTACTAAGCTATATTCCCAGCACTCAAGAATTACATTTAGTTGGCACATCTCTTCAGTATTCTTCAATCTAGAACAATTCAGATGTCCTTTAACTTTCGTGACCTTAGTATTTTTGGTAACAGCCAACAATGCAGAATAGTCCCTCAATTTGGGTTTGTTTCCTCATGACTGAATCCAGCTTATACACTTTTGGAAGGTATATCACAAAATTAATGCTGTTTTATTCTTATTGTATCCTTTCAAGTAGTGCATAATTTCAGTTTCTCCCATTAATGACATTATTAAGGTCTTGCCTGCTAGGTTTCTCCACTACAAAGGTATCCCGTTTTTCTTTGCAACAAGTATTTTAAGAGTAATTTTAGCATCCTTTGATGCTCCTTGGCTGAGTTAAATATTACTATGATGATTCTCCTATGGTGACTTTTCTATCATTCCTTGCTTTATTATTTAGCAATTTATTACACAAAAAAGCATTCTCTCCTACTCAATTCATTTATTTGTATCACTGTAACTAAGTTTTAATTTTATTAAGTCAAATTTCATCTCTTTCATTTATTTATTGCCTCAAACTCGAGATCCTTTTGCCTCAGACGCTTGACTGCTGAGATTATAGGCTACAGGTATACACCACTATGCCTGGCTATTATTTATTTTGATGCTCAAATTGTCACAGTGAAAGTCCTTTCAACCTGAGTCTATGTTCTTTTCATATATCCCTATCATTCTTGGAGCATTCTTTTACTTTCTAGCTCAACAATACGTTCTAAGTTCATTTTGTACTTTCCTCAACACAGCCCTGGAATCAGCCATTTTTTCAAGGACCTCTTCGTCCTTTTGGTGGAAAATGTATTTATAAAATAAGCCCTGGTTGCTAAGTGTTCTAATAAGCCTGTTTCTTCAGGCTTTCTCAGTGGACAAAGCTAGAGAATACATGTATACAAATGCACACACATACATACACATATACCCCTTTAATATCTGTATTTGTTTCTGTCTATGAATATATAGTAAAAGACAAATTCAAACCAATACTTCCAATTCCATTCTAGCACAGGTTTTTTCCTTTTTCATATATGTAGCTCCCTTTTCAAAGGGTGAAAATCTTGGATCTTGTTATCAATATATGTAGTTAGTATAACCTCATCCATATCTTAGTCTGGGTTGCCATCTCCAGCATTCTCCCATACCACCTTCCCCCAGATGTCCCTTTCCCTCTGCTCAGGTTCTAGCATCTTACAGCAGGCTGCTACCATTGCTACTGCCCTCCTTAGGGCAAGGGTTGATTCCAGGACTGAGGCAGGAAAAGTAAAACTGAGGTCAGAAAATATTGTTGAGCTAGAAATTACAGAGGTACTCAATGACTGCTCTCACCTTCCTCCCCTTCAATCCAATCAGGATCTAACACTCCTATCCCTCACTGAGGACAGGAATGCCCTGGTCACTCTGTGTACCAACAGTGCACACAGGGTAGCCCCAATACTCCCCCTTCTATACCACTCTAGAAACATATGCATGCCCTCCTCACTCTGTGGGATTCAGCACCACCCAACAGACTCTGCTATCCCTAGCCTTTAAAATATGGCCATTGGCTCCATTCAATCAGCTCATGCAAGATCTTTCAGTGAAAATTTCATTTTTGTAGATCCTGGATTTTAAAGAAAGAAAAATGTGAAAAATTGTATAAAAACAAAATATAATGATGACAAAAATAACATTTATCTATTTTGAATTTTATACCGCACCTATGCTCAAAAAAAGGAGACAGAACTTAGTATATTTTCCCCTCCTATTCAAGACCTTATGTTTACACTAGTATGAGCTCATCGACATTCTCATCATTTAAATACTACTTGTACAAGGAAATGCATTACAAGTTGTAAACTAGAATAAAGAGTTATTTTAAAAAATAATTACATTTCATTAAACCTCTTACCTAAAAGTATTCAAAGTACTGCCAAATCAGCAGTAAGGTTTTCTTTTTTGTTTTGTTTTGTTTTTGTTTTCAGTACCAGGGAATGAACTCAGAACCTTGCATTTGCAAAGCAGGCACTTTGGCACTGAACTAAATCCCCAGCCCCTAGCAGTAAGTTATTAAGTGCAGGTTTTTTCGCAAATATAGCATACTCACTAAGAAATTGTTTTGCACAATAGAATAATAAATTCTGAAAATATACTTAAAAAATACTTACATTCACATGATACTTCAGATAATAATGAACAATCCAGGCAGGTATGAGCACATGAGTAAAAGCAAAAATACTGCGCCCGTACACCTTATAGATCTGAGAGACAAACATAAAATTAAATTGATATCTCATTTTTTATGTTTATGATGAGTATTCTCCAAATTTCCAAAAAGAACTTACCTTTTTATACTCTATAGCTAATCTCACCCACTTGAGTATTTTCACTAAATGTAGGGAACTGTTTCATGATACTGTATATAGAAGTCCAGGGCAAATAAGGCTTAAGACAATAAGCATTTTGGTATAGCATTTGAATAATTTTTTTCACAAAGATTTCTAACAGTATGTATTCTTATTGTATGTTTGTTAAAGATAAAACTTGGCTCCTAAAATTCATAAGGACCCAAAATAGCCAAAGAAATCCTAACCAAAAAGAACAAGTTTGGAAGTATCATTTGATTGCAAACTAAACCACAAAACCATAGTAATAGAACAGCACAGTACTGGCACAAAAACAGACAAAAATAGACCAATAAAACAGAACAAAGGCCAGAGACACAAACCCATGTAATTACAGCCAGCTGATACTGGACAAAGGAGCCAAAACTATACACTGGAGAAAATACAGTACAGACTCTTTAACAAATGGAGCTGGGAAAACTGGATATCCGTCCACTTGGAGAAGATTTGAAACTAGATCCCTATCTCTCATCCTGAACAAAAATCAATTCAAAGTAGATCACAGACCTAATTATAAGGCTTTAAACTTTTAAATTGCTAAAATATAGGAAAAACATTTGAAGCCATAGGTATGGGCAAAGACTTCCTGAATATCACTCCAATAGCTCAGTAAATAATAGCAAAAATCAACAAATTAAAAAGTTTCTGCACAGAAATAGAAATAACTAGCAAAGTGAAGACACAGCTTGCAGAATGGGAGAAAAATCTTTGCCAGCTACTCTTCTGACAAAGGATTATATCTGAATATCTCAAAACTCAAAATACTTCACAGCAAAAAATCAGAGCCCAACCAATACATGGGCAAATTAATTGAAGTAACTTTTCCAAAGAAGTACAAATGGCCAATAAATGTATCAAAAACATTCAGCATCTTCAACCATTAGGGAAGTACAAGTCAAAACTATAGTGAGACTCCATTTCACCCCAATCAGAAAGGCTGTGGTCAAGAATATAAAAAATACTATATAATAAATACTAGCAGCAAGTAGGGTCGAGGAGGAACTCTTCTACACTGCTGGTAGGAATGTAAATTAGTACGGTAACTATGGAAACATGGACATTTCTCAAAAAACTAAAAATAGAACTACCCAGCTATGCTACTCCTTGGTATACGCCGAAGACATTAAAATCAGCGTACTATAAGGATACTGCATACCTTCATTGAGGTCAATGTACAATGTAGAAGAGACAAGATACGGAATCAACCCAGATGCCCCCAAAACAGATGAATGGATAAAGAAAATGTGGTACAATACACAATGGAATATTAATCAGAAAGAATGGCTGGGAATGGTGGCACATGCCTATAGTCCCAGCACTCCAGAGGCTGAGGCAGGAGGATTGCCATGAGTTCAAGGCCAGCCTGGACTATACAGTGAGAGTTCAAGGCCAGCCTGAGCTACATAGCAACAATCTGTCTCAAAAGCAAAATAAAACTATAAAGAATGAAATTTTGTCATTTGTAGGAAAATGGATGGATCTGGAAATCATCATGTTGAGTGAATGAAATAAGCTAGACTCAAAAAGACAAATACCACATTTTCTCTCCAGTATGTAGAATTTAAAAACAATGACATGAAAGCAGCAGGGCGACTATTATTAGACAAGAGGAAGGGAATTAACAGGAGAAAAGAGAGTGTAAGGGAAAGTAAAGGGGTTGCAATATGATCAAAAAAATACACCAAGACCTAGTATTTTGTAGAATTAGTAGCCACTAATAATAAGGGGGGGGGGATAAAACAAGGAGAAAAGGCACTAACAATAAAGGGGGGAAACAGGGGGAAAATTAGTAGGCACTAATAATAATGGGAGGGGGAAGATATATATTATAAGAATAGTTTCAATGAATTTAACCTAATCAAAACCACAAAAGTTTTCAGGTAACGTCATCTCCCTAATTTGTCAGTTTTCGTATCCATAATCACTACCACTTGCATTACTTTACCATATTTCCCCAAAGCAAGACCTGGTCTTAACATTAATTTTTGCTCCCAAACATTCAATAGACCTTATATTTTCCACATATAAAAATCTACATTTACTCAAATACTGTCTTCTCCTGTAACATCGTAACTCTCCAAACTCCACATTCCAGCCTGAATTTCTTGTGACTACATTTCCTGTAGAACCACTGGCCCCAATCGCTCATGTCCACCAATAGAGCTCTTCTTCAACGAGCACTTCTTGTCCATGTAGCCTGTGTATGCACTGGCAACATAGCACTTGACAAGTGATTTTATCCCATGAATTCTTCACCCAAGCCAACTTCTTTCAGGGTAGGCCTCACAAAGTTTCCATTAACTCAAGTGTTAGTTGCAAATTTACAAGACAGGAATGGCAACAAAAATGATGGTGCTCACAAATACAATGGAAAACTGCAAGCACCAAAATTCAGGAAACATTTTATTTCACACGAGTGTGTTAAGTATGTCTATTACAACATGATGTATTGACTTATGAAGATTCACATCAGACACAACCACATGCGTTCATTATCAAGGGCACATATTATTCATGCCTGTCTGTTCTCCCATTGGTCATTTAGCAAAAAGTCTTGCACTCTCTGTTTACATATTTTTACCTCTCACCAAAAGGTGCTCACTTGGATATTTACAAATACTTAATTATAATTTATATTATCATTTATTTAAGATACTGTCAATATTACATTTGAGTATATATCAATATTATTTTATTATTCAATATGTCTATTGTTGCAACAGACATTCTACTACTAAAGGCATCTGTCTGGCTGACAATCTTAACCAGGGCTTATTTTTTGGGTGGTGCTTATATTATGAGCATCCTGAAAAAAGTCAGCCTAGGGTAATTTTCCTGTTAGGTCTTATTTTGGGGGAAATACAGGAGGTGTAAGGCAGACAACCTTGAATACATCAATGCTACAAAGAGAATGTCTTACATACTGAGTTAGGAGTGTTCCAAACTCATTCTGAGATACCCTCTGACATACTGATTTTAAAAGAGAAAGACAAGGGAGAAATAAAAATGGAATTTTCCATAGCAGCCAATTTTACTGAAATATACTTATTCTTTCAGGGAAAAGTCAATCTAGAGTCTAAGTATTACTACAGATATAATTACAGAAGAAAAATTCAAAGTAAGATGGAATTCAACAAATGACATTTACTCCCTTAAATTTCTTCCTGACCAATGGGTGAGATGTCAACTTTCAACTAGTGACTGTCAAAATTAACAGTTAATATCAAGGATAAGTTGGGATAGGCTTGAATTAAAGAGTTGAATTTTACCACCATAATTTCTTAGGAAAATTTACATCAATTCCGTTGCACTGTACTCTGTAGCACAGTAAGAGTAAATAAATATGGTTTTCAACATGAACTCCTTCAATTTGTACCTCTGTGTCTGTGGGTTAATCATTGAATTGGTGCAGATCTGTTTCTTCACATTTAAAATGAGGCTTAAAACATTTTATATCATATAGGAGTAAAATGAAAGTAATACATGTAAAACCTTCAGCAGAGTGAACATAACGATTACCCAATGCTCCTTATTAGTATTATTGCTATTTTTATAAGCCACTACTGAAGTAACTGAAAGCAACGCTGATGATGTTCACATTCATAACTGAGAGTGAATAACACTTCAAAGAAATACCCAGAATAAAAAATAAAAGTTCACCCCCGAATTTTTTTCTTAAAGAATAACTGTTAAAAGTAAATAGTGGTGGTTTAGAATGGTAGCTTTTGAATATGACTCCCTAAGCACACCGATAGTACCTTGTCTTTGTATTCCATAACATGGGCTGCACTACCAGCCAGGCATTCATTCCTCTGGGAGGTGGTGGGTGCGGTGTATAACTTCAACCTTAAAAGCTAGCCTACTCTACTCAAATACTAAAATCACAGAATTTTAACTCTTGTGAATCCTTGCCTCTTGTACTGAGATTTCTCAAGTCAAAAAACAAAACAAAACAAAAAACACACGTGCAGAGTCCTATAAAAACATTGATTCGCCGTCTCTACAGTTGACAGCAAATGGGCATGATTCTTCCAAGCCATTCGTACTCCAGGACTTCTGATCCCAAATCAGGACTCGGGACAAGGCAGAGCCCTCGCTAAACCTAAGTCCCTCTGAATCTGATTCTCCCTCGGGAACTACGTGGACTTGCGGGATCCGGATGTCAGTCCTTGGGGTGGCTGCAATGGGCGGCCGGATGTCCAGTGGGGGCCTCGGAAGGGTGAGTGCACGGAGAGGGGTCGGGTCGGCCCTTCACTCACCGCGTTCTTCCACGGGGCCCCGTCCTTCAAAAATTTATTCCAGAACGCCTCCAAAGGCCACATCTTCCTGGGGGGCAGCACAGGCTCCCGAGGACTCAGCTCCTGGTCCTTCAGCCATCGCCTTCTCAAGTCCCGCAGCTGCTGCAGCCGCAATTTTTCATCCGGCGTGTACCCGGTCATTTCGCTGCTGAGAGCTGGGAAGAAGGATGCACCGCGTCCCCGAACCAGGGTCCTTTCACTCAGGCGCGCCCCCGCTCGGCAAAGCGACCTTCGGAGGACGCCAGGGGCGCGCGCGGTGTTATGACGTCACATCCGGGTCCCGCCTCCGCAGTCACCAAATTCCTCCAAAGGCAGGAAGGATCTGAACTTGCACTAAGCTTTCCACCTCTTTTTTTATTGGTCCAGTATACAAAAGCGGGAGGGTGGCTTGGTGATGGGACAGAGGGGTGGGAGGGTAGAGGCGGATAACTAAGCGTAAGAGGTCAGAAACCTGGGGGTTTTGGTAAGGAAGAAGAGCTTGTGTGCCGGGAGCTCGAAGCATGAGGGTTTGTGTTCGGTGAATGTCATGTCCAGATGCAGAACCTTACTTGTCTCTCCCACTTTGGAAGTCCCCTCTGCAGGGCCTTGAGAGTCTACGGAGATAGTCACATCCGAGGTTAACTCCCAGCCTTATTGACTGGTAGTGACCTTGAGCAGCTGTCTCAAATCAATCGCTCTGTCTGTTGAGCGGAAGTGAAAAAGCAGTTTAATACCTGGCAAGATCCCATGGCTGTGCGTACTCTGCGATCCTGCAGTCCCACTTGCAAGAGTATCCAAAAGGCACGGAGTTAAAAATATACACTGCAACACAGTTTTTCTTAGCAAAATACTGAAAATTACCTCCTCCAATTATTCAATAGAGGATTGGTTATATAAATTATAAAAGAAAGCAGTGAAATGTTATGGTAGTTGTAAAAAGTAATGAAGAAGAAATCTATCTACAACTGTGGGGTGATCTCCAGAATATAACATTAAGTGGAAACAAATTAAAAGGTGGAGAGAAGGGTGTATAGCATGCTATCTTGTATCCAAAAAAGTTGTGATAATACTGAATATATATACATACCTGCTTAAATTTTAAAATAAAGGAAATGAAAACAACTGATTTTTAAATTTTAGTTTATTAGTACATGTGTGCAGTACGTATTTACATTCTTTGTGTGGAGGTGGTATGTACATGTGCCTAATGTATCTTAATTCCTTTCTTCATCCCCTTTCCTTTCTCTCCCTCCCCACTTCACCCCTTCCTTTATCCCCGCTCCCCCTTTTTTGTGCACTTGTATTTGTTTGCAGTACGTATACACGCAGCACATGTATGTGTGGAGTTGGTACATGTACATATTCATCCATTATCCCTTCCACTCTCCCTCCATTTTTTGAGCCCCTTCCCCTCTGAGAATGATCTACCTCTCTACTTCCTATTATTTATGTTGTATTTTGCTCTTTATTTTTACACTGAGTTTTCCACATAAGAGAAACAGTGTGATATTTAAACTTGTGTGTCTGCTTTGTATCACTTAACATTATGGACTCAAGGTGCATCCATCTTCCTACAAATAACTTGTCTATCCTTTATGTCAGAGTAGTTCTCTGGGGTGTTTAAATACCACGTTTTCTTTATCCATTCAATTGTTGATGGACCTATGGGCCACTTCCAAGATACAGCTATTACGAATTGCGCTGCTATAAACAGGTATGCATATGTCTCTAGCGCCATGTCTTTAACTCAGGAAGATGCCTAGGAGGGGAATTAGGTCAAATAAAATGTCTAGTTTTAGTTTTCTGAGGAATCTCCGTACTGATCGCCACAGTGTTTATACTAGTTTCCCTACCCACCCACAGTGTAGAAGAGCTCCTTCTTCGCTGCAGTCTCTCCAGCATTTGTTATTCGGTTTCTTGATGATGGCCATTTTTTTTTCTGGGATAAAATGGAATCTCAGTGTTGTTTTAACTTGTATTTTTCTAATGGTCAATGATGTTAATCATTTCTTCATATATTTATTGACCATTTGTACTTCCATGAAGTATCTATTCATTTTTCATTCCTGTTTTTTGATTGGGTCTTTGGGGTGTGAATTTTTTTAGTTCTTTGTGTGTTTTAGATACTAGTCCTCTGTCTGAGGAATCACTGGCAAAATTTTTTTCTTATTGTATAGGTTGTCATTTCACTCTATTGGTTGTTTCTTTTGCTATGCAGAAGCTGTTTAATTTATCCCATTTGTTGTTTCTAGAATTTTTTTTGTTTTAACTAGGGATCCAACTCAGGACCTTGCACTTGCCAGGCAGGCGTTGTGCCAATGAGCTACATCCTCAGTCCCTGATTCTAAAACTATTTCCTGGGCTATTGGGATTCTGTTCAGAAAATCCTTGCCTTCGCTGATGACTTCAAAAGTTTTACCAATCTTTCTTCCAGCAGATTGTTTCTGATTTAACATTTAGTAAAAAACTGATTTTTAAAACCATATTATTTATAGGGGAAGGAAGAGGATAGGATAGGATAGGATAGACAGGGATAGATGCTAGGCTGCTCTGAATGTACCCTATTTCTTAAGTTTGACTTTAGAAAATATTTCATATTATTAAGTTTATAAAAGGCAGTTCCTAAAAATCCAACCTAAAACACCACGCATGGATCAAAGTGATATAAGTGGTAGCATAATCTCTAAGAGACACAATTCCAAAAACTTCAAACCATCAGTTACTGTATATCCATAGAGATAAGCCTCAAAAACAAGCAAAAAATAAACTGCAAACAAACAAACAAACAAACAAAAAAGTCTCAGACTGTTTTAAGCAATTGCTGGTAATGGTCTTGGTGGTAGTAGCTCTGTTAACATGACATTGAAAATAAATGTTAATGTTAGTATTGTAAAGAACTAGCATTTTGTTACAGAAGAAATGATATATATAATAGAGTAGGTAGAATATAGGAATAGAATAGAATAAGATTAAAAACCCTATAGTACTGAGTTCTGAATAGGAAAACAGCATAAATTCATGATGTATTTTATCTTTAAAAAGATATGATTTTGTTTTAGCTTGTTGATTAAAAAATGTGTAAGTGTACTATTGTTGAAAAAATGGCCCACTCTGTAACCAAGCACCTCTGGTTCCTAGAGTGGGCCTCACACTGCCAGGCAAGCTTTCCCACTAAGCTACAACCGCAGCCTGACCCCATTTCCACTGACAGGAACCAGGCTCCCTGAAACAGCAGCCCTCCAGTGTGTTGCTTGATCTAAAGACTTCTCTAAACTCTTCAGAACTTTTGAAGACTCCAAAGAGCTTTTGTTCATGCGGGTTATAGCCACTGATGTTTACTGCATTTGAAATTAAAATATCTTAAAAGTAACAATATACTGACAAAAATTTTTAGTGAGAGGAATGTTGCCGTTTTATATTTTTGTGAATTGATGTGTGTCTTAATAAATGACAGTAGAATTCTTATAACTGCCTCTGTGTTCACTCACATATCATGTAGCCTCTGGACTACTCTTTGTACATTTGGGAAAGAATGGGACTTTAAAAAGGAAAAGAGCATGTTGGTATCATTATGAAAATAATTTTGACCTCACAGACTCCATAAAAGGGTCACAGACACTCCCAGGGTTCCCTAAACTATACTTTAAGACCCACCATCTTAAAGAAATAGCTAATTCCACATCTACATTAGGAAATATAAAAATAATTCGGGGTCTTATTGTCATACTAGAAAGTTGGGAAGTTTCAAAGACTAATTAGGGTCATATTGAAAGAATTTAGAAGACAACTTGAACTGAATCCCAGTGGTCAGAGATGGAAAAATTTGATAATCTATTAATCTAATAACGTTGGTGGGTTTTAAATATGAAATATATTCACATACATGGATTCAAAATAATTTTTTTAAGAAATTCATTTGTTACTTTTTGATGGTATTAGGGAACCGACTGGTTATTTTGAAATCTGGTAAGAAAAAAAGTCTTTTTTCTACACAAATTGCATCTAAAAGTAACAAAAAAGTTGAAATTTCTTCAGAGAAGCATAAAAACTGCTTTAAAAAAAGAACTGCTAGAGTTAGAATATTTTGTAACCATTTTTGCAACCTTGGTTCATCAGCGTAGTAGTGATGGTCATCACTAATTACACATTTTTAAAAGGAAAGCCGCGGCGCCCCCTGGTGTAAGATTTATTTACTACAGTACTTACGAAGTAGTTTTGACAAAGTAATTGAACCTGAGTCTGAGCATGTTTCCAAATGGAACTGCACCTGTGAAGGAAATACAGGGGACAGAAGGACTCCTTACACAACACCAAATGATGCATGATAAATCCGGATTATAGGGAGTGCACGAAAGCGACTGTTTCTTTTTCTTTCTTTTTATTTTTTTAGTACATGTTTACTGTTCACGCAGTTTACAATCATCTTGAGGAGTGGTTACCATGCTAGCAAGGGCTCTATCTCCCCAATGAGGCATTTGATAATCCAAATAAATGTTTCTTTTGTAAGTGGAGCTAAAGATGCCTAGTATTTTCTTTGGTCTCAAACCATTATTCTGGCTTAGTCTGGTAAATTACTACAGTCCCCCATTTCCTACCATTACAATATTTGAGAAGAAAAATAAATCACTATTGTTTAGTAAGATACAGTTTTATACCACGAGTGACCTTATTACACCCTTTACATTTACCTAAGGCTGTAAATTTCACGAAGCTGAGTGGAACAAAAATAAAGCAGTGAGAAAAATTATTCAGCTTGGCACTGCTGGGAAATGCGGACTCAAATTATTCGGATGGGCAGCAGTACCTTGATGACTACTAGACATTTCCCACAAGAGGGCGCTCTCGCTTGCTGAAAAGTTCCACATATGCCAGAACTGGGTATTACTTCAAGCCTCAGTAACCAGCCCAAAGAACTGAGAAGGTATTTACCCAAAAGTGAAATATTTTATCTTTTTTTAGCATCTTGTTCTGTTTGTGGAAGAACTCTACTTTGATGTCATTTTTGGGTAAATAAATTCTTCATACCAGGACCAGAGGAAACCTCAGAAAAAGTAGACAATGGAAGTCTATGTGATCAAGAAATTGATAGTATTTTCAGTATAGAACGTGCAGATAATGATAAAGAACATCTAGTACTTACTTTAACAAAGAATAATATCGACAAAGCAAATAAAAATAAGGCCAACCGATCTTCTTCTTCAAATTTTAAAGTGAAGCTGTACTTCACAAAAACAGTAGAGGAGCCGCTAAATCCAGAGGCTAGCAGTTCAACTTCTGTAACGCC